TATATTAAGTAAATTGTAATTTCAGATTATGGTGTCAATGTCGGTTGAGTAAAGCAAATCAAAAGAAAAAAGTGGCGAGAAGAGAAGAACTGAGAAAAGTCGACACGAGAATAGAAGAGACTAGAGATAAGTGAAGATTAAAGAGTGAAGTGAAAGCAAAAAAATGAAGAGTAGAGAGTAGAGAGAACAAGACGAGACGATACCAAAAGACCGATTTTCTATAAGTGGATAAAGAAAATTGTCAAAGGATGGATAGGATCAGAGTTGATAGGATATTTGCGGAGGAATAATAGGGCAAGAGGTAGAACAGACTGAATAGGAAATTAGTGCTCTGAAGGGGAAATTAGATGAGATTAGACGAGAGATGCGGTGGGAATAAAAGAAAAGTGGAATGTGAAATGTATTCACCCAATTTCGTATAAGGTGATGCATAACTGATAGAAGAAGTATTTTCCCACAATCATATGAGTTGAGTTGGCGTTTCCATAGAATTTCACATAGTCTTGCTTTCCCAACAGTTGTTCTCATTCGGACAGAAGTGGACTGCAGTTTCGACATCGCATCGGTCTTATCTACACCCTCTGCAGGAGCCGAAATTGAATGGAAACGTCAGCTCAACTCATATGATTGTGGGAAAATTCTTCTTCTACCAGTCCTTCATCTGGGTGAATACATCTCATACTACTGATTTACTGGTAGTCAATCAAACAATACTTAATTCGAAAAAAAAGTGGAATGTATGAATAATTTTTGTCTTAAAAAAACATTAAATATCATTAAAAACCTTAGCCGCAGGCGCCTGCTTAATATGATATTGTTTGATATGTGATAAGGGAGCACGATTAATTCTAGTCTTATACAACATAAATAATTCATTTTACTTTTCATACCACTTCGAATCTCTCGGCCTCTTTAGCTTTATTCTCTCTGGCATTCTGGACGCTCGACACAGTTGGCAAGATTCAGGCCAACTTGGAAGTAACGACAAACGAACAATCATCCAATCACCAGTTGTGCTACGAGAAGCGCACACCCACAATGCAATTCGCGAAGATTCCGATCAAATGGAAGGGATCGTGTTTTCTAGCAGATCATTGTCCCAGTCAGAAGGCGTCAACTTGCAAGTCTTGAGGCATCCTGTCGCTGCACCCTGCTCTGCGTTTCCAGGCGACACGACCTTCCTTGATCCACTGAATGAGCCTCTTCGATGCAGAATAGCATGGCAGATTTGCGATGGTGAGAAAACGGTGTATGCTGCCATGAAATGTTAAGATGTCTCATTTCTATTCGACCAATAGCCATCCTACCAAAGAGTAATTTGCATTTGATTTCTTTGCGACATGTTTCACGAAAAAAGCCGTTTTCGCCCCAAATGAGCTGAGATTTGAGAGTCACTTGAACGATAAGAAGGGGATCTACGGGACCATGAGGCGGATCCGGATTGGAGGCCCGAGTCGGATTAGCCGATCGAAAGAGACTGGGTCGGGGTGAATAGAAGGTGGGATCCAGAGACCACACTAGATTTGCCAAAAAAATGGCACATTTTGACGAGTAGAATGTAAACAAGTGGGAAGTTGTGATAGGGCGGGAGTTGGCCAACATCAGGACAGAAAGAGGAGTGATGTTGTAACGTTTGTCGAGGGATTGAATTCACTTGTCGCTCTCACGAATTCGTAGTTTGGTGCAGAGAATGGCAGAGCTCACTGAGGATGTCGGCGA